ACTGGACTGGGCAGGAAGATAGCAATGAATGTGGGAATGAAATTGCCCATAGTGGTTTTCCTGCACCTGAGGAAGCAAATAAGGAAGTTATAGAAGATGGCTATGATAGAAACAAGGATGAAGAACACGCTGATGTGAAAGTGGAGGGAAACAAGAATAAGGATAGACAAGGAGAGGAAGCAGGAAATGTGGCTGCCAGTGCAAAAGGTGGCAGTGATGGTTACAGGGAAGAAGGTGCCAGTGGTGGAACTGAAGAGAGAGAAGATACCCAAGATGCAGGGAATGAGCAGGACATCCTTTTAGTGGATAGTATAGAGTGGCCTGTGGAGGACCTGGAGAGAGGCTGCTCAGTGACAGCTGAGCTGATGGAGAGCTTCACGCGTGTCTTTGTGGACAGCGTGAGCGATAGCTTCGATCCGGTGCCTCAAGAAGCCATCGGGGTGGGCAGCGCCTTTGAGGGCTGGAGTCCCCGTGAGTGGGATGGGGTGTACCGTGTGCTGGTCCCACTGAATCCCCCGCCAGGGCACGCCTTCCACCTAGAGCCAAGCAGTGAAGGGCAGACGGCAGCAAGGACCTTCAGCATCCGTGTGGAGCTGGTGTGCACGTGCGAGAGGGAGCAGCTGGGCGAGAAGCTGTTGTGCCTCCTGCACCACTCGCAGGAGGAGCTGCGGCGGAAGCAGCAGCGCAGCCTCCTGGAGACACTCTGCACCGGCTCCTACCTGGATGTGGAGAAAACCTCCCGCTGGTTCTTCCAGATGGTGAGATGCTCGTGGCTGCATGTGCCTCAGTCATACTCATGGCACTTGGTGTTTCAGCCCTGCAGCCGGTCCTGCCAATTCCAGCTGAGCAGAGGCAAGAGGACCCTGTCGGTGGAGATGCTTTTTGGGGTGCGCCAAGGGGACTCTGACATCTTTGTGGTCAACCAGCCTATAGAGGCCCAGAAAGGCAGCTCCAGTGACATTGTGAGCAGTCAGCCCGCCAAGGCCAACATCCTCGCAAGCACAGTGTGGCATGAGACATTCGCTGTGGCAGAGGCAAAATTCTTCCAGCGCATTGCCAGGCAGATCCCGTGTAAGAGGTTGCACCTGAAATACCTGCAGCTCTTCACCTGCATGCTGAGTGGCACAGGTTTTTCCACCTCTACCTGGAAGACTCTGGTCATGCATATATTAAACATCTCACCACCGGTCTACTGGCACAGGAAGGAATTTCCACTGCGGCTGTGTGACATCATGTCATTCCTGCAGTTCAGCCTGAAATGGAAACGCCTGGACCATTTTGTTCTAGGCAACGAGAAGCTTCCTGCGGAGATCAGCTTGCCGCCAGCAATGCGAAAGGTTGAGCCGCTCAACCTCTTTGAGTACCTGGCCCGAGATCCGGATGCCCACAGAAAGGCGGTGGAGGCTTTTGATCAGCTGCACTTTCGCCTCTGGATGATGCTCTCCAACACTGAGAGGAGTAAAGTGCACGAAGCTCTGATGGAGAAGTTCGCAGCCGATTGCTGCGACCTCGACTCTTTGTGATTGCTGCATTTGTCCCTGGCACTCCTGACAGAGATGCTTGCCTGCTCCTGTGGAAGGAAGATGCTGCAGCACAGGGATTCGTTGTGCACACACTTCTCCGAGTGGCCTTGCCCTTCACCTTCCATTTACAGTGGTGCTGTTGCCTAAGTCTAGGAGGCAGAAACGGGCTCCACCTGCACATCCTTCCAGAAGAACAAGAGTGAAGCTGATGGAGGTTGCTTGGAATACCTCGAAGACAGCAACCTAGCCTATTAGGGACTTAATGTAGTTATTTAGTGAGTTGTAGTTTTAATTAGACTTGTTTCTTAGCGTTCGTGCCAGAGGCCCTTTAGCGTTGGCAGTATAGAACTATTTTGCAAAGTTACCCTTAGTGTAGAGAAATAGAGTTTAGACTAGATTAGTTTAAACCCTTAGTTTTGAGAATTCCCGTTAGTCTAGAGAATTCCCCTAGTTGCTTGTCTGCTTTTAAATAATACTTGAATACCTATGTGTGAGAAACTAATAAAAGAAGAGAAGTTTCTCAAATTGCCTGAAATGTGTCCTTCTTTGTACATAAGCCTCTGTATCTGAGAGAATGTCCTTCCTATACCGCTATCTGAACTAAAGACTCTTTGCAAAGAGAGATGGTGGATATATTAAGTATGCTGTCTCTTGAGCACTTCCATAGAAATGCTCAAAGTTTGAAGTGAAAATGCCCTGAAGTGCCTGAAATTTTGCAGCACAGTACTCCTGAACATTTTTAACAATCTTTGGAAAGATTGCTGAAAAGTTTTTTTTGCACAGTCACTTTTACACACTTCTAGGGAACAATTCAGTCCTAAAAGATTGAGCTACCCTTCTGTAATAGGTGCCCTTCAGCAATATCTACATATATATGTGTGAAGAAATAATAAAAGGAGAAAAATTTCTCAAATTGCCTGAAATCTGTCCCTCTTTTTATTTAACCCACCATTTCTTAAAAAATATCCATCCAGTGCAACTACCTGAAAAAATGCCAAAGTGACTCAAACGGTGATTGTGTCCAGCAGTCACTTCACAGTATTCTGCTTCCATAGCGCTTTGAAGCAGGGCTATTAATTTTGCCTCTTGAATTCAACCAGAAGTCATGACGGTCACAACAGCTAAAATATTACAGAAATATTTTAGCTCCCACTGTCATTAGAAAAATTCCCCTTCCTTCAGGGGATGGAAAAAAAACCTGCTGTGGCCCATGTCAGAGAGAGAAGCCTGCTGTGGGGACAGGAACAAGCAGCTCCCTTTAGGGAGAGCAAGTAGGAACCTCCCAAAGGAGGATCACTGCCAGCAGCAGAACTTGCTGCTGCACCGAGAGAGAAGTGTGCTCACAGAGGTCCCTGCCTTTTGGCTTCTTTGCTGGGCAGGCACTGCCCCCACCACAGCCCCGTGGCTTCCTGCTGCACAATCCCCCCAGCGCTAGATTTGCCAGGGCCAGAATTATTGCAGGTGCTTAAAATGGGCGTCTGGCCCTGGGTTTTGGTGCAAGCGCAAGCGTGCTGCGTGTGTGAGGGGCATGCTGAGGGAGGGGGGGAGGCTGGAACATACAGCTCTTCAGTGTTGCCATTGAAACCCTATTGTGTAACTCAGCTGCTGATTTTTAACTGGTGGCCTAGTATGCAGTAGCACTAGGATGGAAACGGAAGGCAATGTTCAGTAAGAGTAAGCAAAGGCAAATAATCTGGATGTTTTTTCTGTGGCTGAGCTGTTCTTTCAGGCCTTGAAAACAGGAGGCAGCACTGATGCAGTCACTGAGCAAGTCTGGTTGGCGTTAACTGCACCCAAGCAGCTCTCTGTTGGCATGGCCCCCATGAAGGGACGTTCAACTGACTCCCAGACGGCTCTCACCCACCTGCAGCTGCGCCTTTCCCAGGGCGCCTTTCAGTCAGCAGAATTCAACAACTTTAATGCATTTAGCAAAGGCTGAATGGAGCAAGGCCCTGGTGTCTGACGACCATTTGGAGAAAGCAGCTTTGAGTGAAATGCATCACAGCCAGAGAATGTCAGCACGTGCCAGTAGCGTCAGAAGAGCTCTTGAGCCAGGTCAGGGTTTCTGTAGGCAACTGTCCTTTGGATTTACTGAAGAAAATCACTTATAGGTTGGACACTGAAATCCACAAGAAAATTCACATTTGCTCCAAGCATGAAGCCAAGTCCAATCTCTTCCTGTTTCCTTCATCAGTGAAGCACAAACTCAGTTAGAATTTTAAACTGTGTTGTGTTCTGCACAGCTGCTACCAGAGAGGGTGAGCAGAAGTAACAGGACAACCTTCTGCTCTCTTCAGGTTTATTATGGAAATATGAAATATCATGGAATCTTACTGGTATAAAGAGTCTTTTCTGTTTCAGATTTTCCACTTCCTAATTTGAAATTAAACTGAATATGGTCTGACTCCTAAGAATTTTACTGCACCTGCAAATCCACTGTCTCAATGAGATGGTGGGAGGACTCAGCCTTGGAGGGAAAAGAGGGTAACATAGGTCATGAAAGTGAATCCTATTAAAATTATTCTTCATTATAAGTTCACATCCAGCTGTTTGTCAATCTAAGCTGAAATGTTTTGATGCACCAAATTCAGGTTTACTTGCTTATAAAAATCTGAATCAGAACTATAACCTGTATAATCTAAACCATCATTTCCAATAACCATTGTGAGAAAACACTAAGTTCACATAAAAGCAGATACATTTTATCATTATAGCCATCATTTTTTCATCTATCATTGGGATCTCTATTAAAGAGTGATGGTAATAAGCTCTTCCTATGGGATCAGTAGAAATATGCAATGAACTTTGCTAATAGCCTAGTACAACAAATATTCTGTATTTAACCTTGCAGGGAAGCTCCAAGTAAGGTTAATTCTTTTTTATTTATTCCCGCCCTGTTACTCCACACTTCCTGACCCACCCCTAAAAATATCTTGCACTCATCTTGCATAATGCCAGCAAAAAAATTACATGTGTTATTCCTGATTGCTAATTTTTCTTAAGCAATTTTGGAGTGGTCAGATTCAGGCAGCTTTTGGAAGCAGTCTTCACCTTAATCAATTTTAACAAGCCTATAAACTGAATCATGTAAACAGGGTAATAATGGGACAGATTGAGACATTTGTACAACTAGGTTTGACTGCTATTCTTAACTATTTTCCAGATAATTTTAAAGTGCTGAAGGACAAAACTTCGTGACTTGTACCTCTCTTAAAAACAATGAACCTCTGAACACAGAATTTTTCATCTTTGAGCTTACATGACCAAGATCTAATTACATTCTCATGGATTGCACCAAGAATCTGGGGAAGGAAACCCATTTCATTCCTCGTGACATTGTCTCAGTGAAGAGAAAGGCATTTTTAACTGGGGCATAACAAAGAGTCAGCTGGTGACATATTTTCCATTGGTTTGAGTGGAATGCCACATTGTCTGAAATTCTGAAAAAGCTAATAAAAAATAAAATAAATTCTTTTTAAAAAGTAATTCAGTAATAGAATTCGTAATGTCAAAAGCCACAGTGAGACCACAGTATATTTAGGTTTTCTTTTTAACATGTATTTTCAGGCTAAACTTCAGAAGGTGTTAATTTCTCAGTAATGAAATCACACAGCAGAGCCAAGAATGACAGATCTGGTACCATCTCTACCAAAGCTTTTCTTCTGGTCTTCTAATTTTGGCTCCTTATCCTATATGTATTACCTTTTATTCATATTCTAATAATTTTCTTTTCTTCATATTCTAATAATTATTTCTGCATATTTTAATAATTAGACAATGCTCTAAAGTGACCTGAAAAATATTTTTGGTTGTACAGGGATTTTCAGGAAAAAATGTTTCCTTTTCTCCAGAAGAGGAAAATCCAGACTGAATCAGGAAGAGCCAATAGTTAATTCAGTTTTCTAATCCACAAACAATATAGATAAAGCATTCAGTCAGTTGTAGTGATAATTGTAGTCTTCTACTTACTTATCCCAGATGAAAAAAAGAAAAAACAAAACCCAGGAATTAAATGCACATTAATATAAAATTATATTTTTAATAAATTGGAAAAAAATATTTATGGCACTATTTATTCACACAATGGAGAGGTGAACTTTATCAGATGTAGAGATCTCCAGCTCTTTACTGCAAATAGCCAGAAAAACATTTCTCATCCTTTACACAAATATATTGTAAAAATCAGCATGAAAAACACTGCCACATTCTAATTCTCAAGCCCTATGTAATAGCACGTGAGCAAGTAAGAAGTTTTTGAATTATTTTTGTCTTGTCTGCTTTTGTATACATTCCATGTGATACTAAAGTCAACAAATTTTATTTTTCATCAGCAGAGAGAAAAATTTAAAATTCATAACTTCTAAAGGTTCTAAAGGTTTGTTCTCAGCTGGGAAGAATCAAGGAAACAAAATAAGAGAAAAGATCTGAAAAACAAAACTTTTCAGTAGAACTTTTCCATTTGGATTCCTGCAGAGACTTTTTCTTTCCAGGAGATCATACTGATTTCCATGAATCTTTTTTTTATGTAATATGAATCTATCTATTTATTTTTTGCCTTTGGTCAACAGGGGACTTGGATTAGAAGGATAGATGACTTAAAACCTGATCACAAGTGTATCCCACTTGCCTGATAATTTACCAGTAGAGTATTTTTCTGGTCCTAAGACTACTTACTCAGGCATTTCTTGGGTTCAGAAGACCTTATACTCTGCAACTATCTTGCTGTGCAGATAGGTGGAAAACTTTCCAGGTCTGTCACAGATCTATGATTGTGGAGAGCCCTCTGGCTGTCTTAGTCTTCTGGGCTACTTATCCAGAAGCAGGGAAATCTTTCTTCCCCATTATATAATACTGCTTAGTCCTTCAGCACTATCAGGGGCTTCCTAAGTCAGGGTAGCAGCTAAATGACCAGTGACAAAATATTTGGTAAAATATTGAGGAATTTTGTTTTCCAGGAGAAGCTTCAGACTTTCTGGTTTTTGTTCAGATTTAGAATAAGG